TGCAAATGGAGATTCGAACTTGATATAAGTGAATGGAGCATATTGCTCAAATCAATTTGCCTAAATCAGTGTCTGCCTTAAACCCTAGTTATCCACTCAGTAAGTAATAGGGGCGGTTTTCCTCAATACATACCCTTCATTTTTGGGCTTAATTGATAGAACCTGACCACTACTATTGGTAGTCCTGCAACGGCCTCTGACTGTCTGTTACTCTCATTCCATACTATAAATGGATGATGGACGTAGTGTGGGTTTAGGATTTAGATACGAGTCGGGTACGTACGTACTTGTGCCACCAACCAAACCCAAATGCAGTTCTCTTTCCCTAGAGTCAATCTTATTTTCTTAACTAGTTAAAACAAAACAAAAAATAATAATAATAATAAAAAAAAAATAAAGCAAAAATAATAATAAAACAAAACAAAAATAAAAATAAAGCAATACTGATTAACTGTATATAATTGATGGGATTAATATAGCCTGAAAAATTAACAAAAGTGCCAAAGTCAATTGTGGTTGGTGGTTGGACACGTAAAGATAAGAAGGACTTGCATATGATAAAAATACACTGTTATAGTGGTATTTTGTACAAATAATACAATTTGTTTTGTTTGTTATCTTTGTATGATTCGGACGAAGTGCTAATTTGACGATGTACGCATCTCATACAAATTGCTCTCGTAAAGGACACACAAAGCCATTGAAGTCTCTACCTTTTTTCCTCACAATGTGGAAATTAAGGGCGGATTCTTTGATTGATTTAGTCCAAGTTCTTCAGGTTTGGTAGGTAGCTCTCTCTAGAAAGCCGAAAGTCAAAAAGTCAATAAATGGGTCACCGTCAAGTGGGTCAAGGGGGCCATATATTCATCAACCTCAAGCTGTGTGCGAAGATTTCGAAGATCCTTCAAGTATATTCATTCATTATATATTTTACGGTCAGAAATTATTATAAATTTTTTATTTAAAATGAAATATAAACAGCATTTGACGAAAACTGATTGAATGATGTACAATGAACAGATGTGATTAGAAAATTCTCAAAATCCTCACAAAGAGAATACAAAGAAAATCCTCATTCCAACCTCAAATCTTAAATATTTCGGTGCCGTACGTAATGCCGCGTGGGCCTTGGGACAAATACATACAAGAAAATACAGATTCATAGAACACTAAGAAGTGGAGGGTTTTCCTCTTTATTGTCAAACAAGCTGGCATTTGGTACTAATACAACTCTTGGATAAAGTTGTGTTTTTTTAATGCATACATAAATGAAATTTGAAGTGCATTTCTATTTTTCTTTTTAGACTATGGTGAGACATATGTTGGGTGGTGAAGCATCAACACGTACACAAAATGGGTGTAGCGGAGATGAGGATGCTTCGTGGGATGTGTGGGCACACGAGAAAGGATAAGATTGGGAATGAGGATATCCGAGGTAAAGTAGGAGTAGCCGAAATTGTAGGAAATATGAGAGAAAATCGGCTCCGGTGATTTTAAACATGTGCAAAGAAGGCCGACTGACGCTCCGGTTCGAAGATGTGACTACGGGATAGAGGTTCAGGGCCGAAGGGGTAGAGGAAGACCTAGGACAACTTTGGAAGAGAGTCTAAGAAAAGACTTAGAGTACTTGGATCTAACGGAGGACATGACACAAAACCGAGCGCAATGGCGTTCTAGGATTCATATAGCCGACCCCACTTAGTGGGAAAAGGCTTTGTTGTTGTTGTTGTTGTAGACTATGGTGAGACATCCATGATGTTTTTCAATACTCACTTGATTTAGTTATAGAAACTTTTAGTTCATGTTTTTTCCATAGTTGAGAGCGCATTAAAATTGAACTTAAGATCTTTTTCTATAATTAGAAAATACAATGACAGTAACAATTAGATAAAAAAAAAATTTCTCCATGAATACTCTTAACTCGATTGCTTTGGATTAATTCTCGATATTGCTTCGAATTAGAGGTTCTCCACATTCATATGTTGCATCTATGTGATCTATGATCAGTAACAGTTTGATTGTATCTTTTTGAAATTGGCAACATCTATTCTTAAAGTTACAAATTATTAGACTATTGGACTCTTTGCTAGGCTAACTATCAAGTTAACTGCTATTTTATGATGTGACACTTGTTGGACTTATTTTTTACTTATACCGGCGCTAATTTTTGGCATGTGGATTCACGAATGCCATAAATACAAACAATATGAACTTTTTGTCAAAGAAAACTCTAACCTCCTAGATGTACAAATTGTTCACAAATGAATCATGTGACTCACCAATCTTGAGCTCAAGTCATTAAAAGCACCCTCGTTGATTTTCACATAACGACTTCTAAAAATACCTTTAACTTGATAGTTAGACAAACAAATAAAGGTTGTAACAACTTATAACGTTTAAGGGTTATTAATTTTGTCTTTAAAAGATGCGAATCAAATTGTTCCTAGTCTCGAACCACATGAGTTCAAAGTGTAATCTGTTCCTTTTATTGTGCAAAGCTCAACTTGTTATGTTAAATTAATGGGAAATACCCAGAAATAGAATAATTTCTTAATCTTATGATAGAAATATGACATTTTGAATATGCACACATCATGCACAACAATCGGATAGAAATATAATTTTTCCTAACCTTGAAAAGACCAAATTGTCCTCTCATATAAATGGGTTATCCAGAAATTCTAGGCCTCATTTCTCATTTTGTAGAGAGAGAAATAGAGAGGAGAGAGAGAGAGAGAAAATCTCTCTTGCCCAATTCAGTTCGAAAAACCCTAACCGGCCCACCCATCTTTTTCATCCAAGATCTCTCTCTTTAACCCACCCATCTTCTTCATCCAAGCTCTCTCTCTTTCTTTCTCTCTCTCTACATTTTGAATATGCACAAGAGCTCTCTCTCTAACCCATCCATCTTCTTCAAATTTTTACCTTTTCATTTGTAGGTTTTGTGAATTAGGTTTGCTTAATTTTGCTTTTTGATTGATGAATTTTTGGAGTTGAAGTGATTGGTTTAGTGTTTCTTGGAGGAGACCCAAATCCTTAAATTTTGATTTTTGATTTTATCATTTCTCTGATTTATATGTGGGTTTTCATTTCTTCTGTCTTATCCCTCCCTCTGCTCCCTCTCTCGATCCAAATTTACAAGCACTAAAATATGTTTTGGCTTTTGTTGCAATTAAATGAAAAAAAATGTATTAAAGGTTAGTTGCCTTTTGGAGAAGAAATAAATTTGAGGGAAAAAAGAGAAATCAGAGTGGAAAGAAGGAAGAGAGAAGGATATGGACGAAATTGTTTCATGTACTCGTTCGCTCTTTTCGCATTAAGCTCGCTCATACACTGTATGTACACGACATGCACATGTTATGCTCACAGATCTGAGCTCAACCAAAAAACCCATAGCTCACAGCTCTCTCTTTGAAAAAAAAATGATGCAATTAGATAAATAACCCTAAACTTTATATGAAGAACCGAAGATTCATTAATTTGAATTTGGTATCAAATTTGATTGGGTTCAAATATTTCAATGATTTGAAAATTGTAGCTTGCATGGGCACGAAAGAACCCAACTGAATCAAAAGAAATTGTTTCACGAACTCGTTTGTTTTTTTCGTATTTGCATGGCCTACGCTTGAATCAAAGGAAAAAGTAGTAAACTATGTTAATGTGAAGAGTATCAAAGATGTAAATACGCACCATATACAATATATGCACACCACATGCACATAATATGTACAATGCATCCACATGATAAGCATAGAACGGGAGAAACTTTAACGGCAACATATTGGTGTAGTGGATACAAGTAAAACATAATTGTTACGTATATAAGGTTACATTGACAATTTGAAAAGTCTTGTTACATATATCAACCACCGCTTAACCGTGCACGTGGAAACCATGATGCTCATTGTCGTTATTTCATGGACACGCATGACCCATAACGTCCTCTAAATGTTTTCTTAATTTTGTTGTTCACCAAGGCCAACTAGGTTGTGGTCATACTTGCTAAATTTCAGGGTACAACATATGTGCATCATAACTAGTGAACATTCCCGCTTCTCATATTAAGATGTAGCCATGCACAACACATGCACATTACAAAAAAAATTTCACAAAGTTCTGTAATTGAACACTTGAACCAGAAATCGTTCCATCTCAGTTTTGTAGCACGTCAAAACTTGAAATTTATTCCACAACCCATACGCCCTAACATGAAATACAAACCCTAGTTTAACTTCTAAGTATTAATTCATCTTACAAACAACTCATTTATTCCATAAATCATTGATGAAGGAACTTGGAACTAAACACCCTACTTTGCTATGTCTGCCAAAGCTTTAGTCACCGGAAAAAAAAGGATCTTTCCGGCCAAAATAGAAAATATGGTGCAAAACTCAGCTCACTCTTCTCACCTTTCTTTCGCATCCATTTGCTCGAAATCAGAGGTATGAGGTCAACCTAAAACCCAACTCTCTCCTCGCTTCTCTTTGGACTTCCCTCTCTTCGAAATCGAAGCTCAAAAATCTGAGCTCAACTTAGAAACTCATAACTCACAGAGCTCTTCGACATCCTCTCTTCCAAATGAGAACAATGATGCAATGGGCTGATGATTTGTAGTATTTATATGTGGGTATTCTACTAATTTCAGTTTTGTGCATAGTGTGCATGACTTGTGCATGGCCGATTTGTCCTATTTCTATCACAAGATTAAGAAATTATCTTTTTAAAGTATTTCCCTATATTAATTTGGATCATGCAATTGTATATTTACAATCTCATATAAATAATTCAGATTAAGAGTTTTTAATAACGTATTCAACGGTCTAAGAGTAAATACTCCCCTCAATCCCAACTTAAAAACCACGCTACAGGACACAGATAGAACACGTGTCAAGATTCCAAAAGCATGCATATCTAGCGTAGTCAACCCCTCCCGGGATCTTTACAAAGAAACGAGTAATAATATAGTAAAAATACAGCAACTCTGACCATTAGATTAAAAACAAAATTGCATAAACAAGGCAACGGAAGCATCTTCCTGTCTTTTCTCAACCTTCTCTTGATCTCTGGCTGTCTTGTATCCATTGGCAATGGAAAAGATATATAACTACTAACCCTATTTTTATATTTTGGAATCCAATACGCTAATGAAAATTAAAATAATTATTTCTTTGCTTAAGTAGTTTAATACTTCAGTCATTTTCTCAAAATTCCAAAGGTATTCTGGACGGGAAGAACAACGATGGGGCTCTTCAAGTCTAAAAACTCAGCACCTATATTTTAGATTTTCCATTTTTGAGCTAATTTCTTATTATTTTCTTTGCCCAAAATTTTTTTTGGAGTAATACCAATTGGGTTTTGAGCTGAAATCGGTAAGAAGCCTGAAAGAGTGATTTCATAGTTTATTGAAGCTTGGCCATGGAAGACAGAAAAACTTGTAAGTTTCTCTCTCTCTCTCTTTCTCTCTCTCTCTCTCTCTCTCTCTCTCTCTCTCTCTCAAGATTCTTGTGAGTTTTAGTTTTGCATAATATTTTAGTAAAACCCATTTGCCAGATTCCCAGAATGCTGAACCTGTTGCATTTATTTATTTAATCTTGATTTGAATATTGATAGAGTGTTGAGTTTTCAACTGTATTTACTTGTTTTAATTTATTTTGGTTTAATATTTCTATTTAGTTTTTGCAAGTTCAGGTTGCTCTACAATTCTGACACATTCAATTGCTTCAACACAATATATTTATAAAGGAATTTTAGGAGGCCTAATTATTTTTATTTTTATTAATCATAGAATAATCTTTTTTTTCCCCTCCTCAATGTGTATGCACAAAAATCTGAATGCAGTACAAGTCACATGTTTGATTTGCACTTTGGGGGTTAGAGTCTTTACAGCTTCATCTCCAAGTTGACATCTTTATTTCACATGTTTCACATGATTCCCGGTGAATGAGTATCCATGGCTGCAACATCTTCCCTGTTCTTGTGGCTTTGAGCTCATGCCGTGTCATTTTCGGTTTTTATTTCGAAGAGCCTTGATATTTGGATACAGTTGATTCATGGCCTAATATATGTTCGATTATCCAGTGTGTTTTACTACAGATCAATTCTGTTAACTGAAGACAAAGTGGTATTCTTAGAAGATTATCATGGGTTATGGTAATTCAAAATCTATAAGGTACATCTTTTTTCTGAATTCTGTTTCGGTTTCAAGCAAATATAATTTAGGTAATCTTAGTTTACGTTATCGTGTTCTAAACGATATTTTGCAATTGGATTTCTGTTTTTGTTATGAGTTTTGTAGTCTAATCATAGATCTTAGCATGATAAGCTGGCTTCTAATTTTTTTTTTTTAATTTTTTTCATTCACATATGAATTTTGAAATTTTCAGATTTCAAGATGATGTTGAACTAGCAAAGCTACCTTCAGTCAATGAGGTTGGTGTGGTCAAGCTTAAGTATAAGATTGATGGGGGAGAAGTAGCAGAGCCCTTCGAAAAGGAGGTGTCCCGGAATACTGGAAAATCGTTAAAGGCTAAAGTTCTGTCCAGAGTCTTTTCCGAGGACTATGAGAGAGTGCAGAAGAAAATATTAGATCCTCGAGGACAGACTGTTCGCCGTTGGAACAAGATTTTCTTAGTAACTTGTTTAGTTTCTTTGTTCGTGGACCCTCTATTCTTTTACTTGCCATCGGCGAGAGATGAATTCTGCATTAGTATTGGAGAACCACTTGAAGTTGTTCTAACATTTGTTCGATCAGTGGCTGATGTTTTTTACATAATCCAAATTTTTATTAACTTTCGCAAAGCTTATATTGCACCTTCCTCTCGTGTATTTGGGAGAGGAGAGCTTGTAATAGAATCTTCAAAGATCGCATTGAGATACCTACGCCTGGATTTCTGGATAGACCTCATTGCTGCGCTGCCCCTTCCTCAGGTATGTTACTTGAACACTTCGTGTACTAGCCCTATTGAGACAAATCTAATATGCACTAAATTTAGTCCTAAATTTTCGTTGTTTTAGGTCCTGATTTGGATTGTAATCCCAACCCTTAGCGGTTCGACAGTGACAAACACAAAAAACGTCCTTCGATTCATCATAATCTTTCAATACATACCAAGGCTCTTTCTTATATATCCGCTCTCATCACAAATAGTTAAGGCCACTGGTGTTGTGACAGAGACAGCTTGGGCAGGGGCTGCATATAATCTGATGCTATACATGTTGGCAAGTCATGTAAGTATAAAAAAGCTTGTTGCTTCTCTTTTCGAAACTTTGAAAAAGATAGATAGTTGTGCATCTACAGCTTGATCACAAGTAACACTTTATGGCATATAGTGAATGGGTAGACCGAGTGGCTAAGCCTAAGGATTTTCACTGAACCTTATCTTTCTCCAGCATATAGAAACACAAAAGAAGGAATAATTACAAACCTACATGGTTTTTGCAAAATGTGTTGCAGTTAAAAGTATTTCAGAAACAGATTGTTTGGTCTTAAGACTTAATTGATTTGTCGAAACCTGAAACGATCATCTGTCATTACTCTACATATAACGACCAAAATCAAAATTCCTCAATTCCTATTCTTGTATTGAATTAAACTGCCATGCTCATCTTCCTGACTGTCTAACAGACATTTGATGGTTTCTCACCTTTCTTATACATTGAACAATTAAATATGTAAGCAAAATGTAAAACTGATATGCCTTGCTGATTTTTTATTTTTCTCTGTGAAAAGGTTTTAGGAGCTTGTTGGTACCTTCTTTCAATTGAGCGGCAAGAATCTTGTTGGAGAAGTGTTTGTGGTCTTGCGAATACGTCTTGCAGATATGATTACTTTGACTGTCGTTGGGCTCAAGACCCTAACAGGAAGTCCTGGTACCAGTCGAGTAATGTCACAAATCTCTGTATTCCAGATAATTATCAGTTCGGTATTTATGGTGACGCGGTGACATATGATGTTACAACCTCGTCGTTCTTCAACAAATACTTTTACTGTCTCTGGTGGGGTCTAAGAAACCTCAGGTAAGCTGTTGTTTCTACAAATATCTGTTTATGATGTGCGTTCACTCATTTCTGATTGATAATTTAAGATTAGTAGATTACCAACTTATGTTCTTTGTAGAATTTTGAGCGACCCTTTTTTCAAATCTTCTTCACCAGATGTGTTTGCGAAGGGATTAACAATGCTTAGTGCATGAAAAGCTTTGGCTTTCTGGATTTAAACAATTTTAAGTAATTTTAGTTGAAATTTGTGCAGTTCTTTGGGACAAAATCTTTCAACAAGTACTTATGTTGGAGAGATAATGTTTGCTATAATCATCGCTACTCTTGGTCTGGTTCTCTTTGCATTGCTGATTGGTAATATGCAAGTAAGTCGTTGATCAGTGACTTCTCAATACTTGGCTTTTACTAAACAACTCATATATTTTTCGAAGTTCATATTTCTAAGTTTCGATCACCCTTTATAATTGCAGACATACCTCCAATCCACAACTGTGAGACTAGAAGAGTGGAGGATAAAGAGAACTGACACAGAACAATGGATGCGTCATAGGCAACTGCCTCCGGAGCTAAGACAGTCTGTACGGAAGTATGATCAATACAAGTGGTTGGCTACTCGAGGAGTTGATGAGGAAGCTCTTCTCAATGGCCTACCTATGGATCTTCGAAGGGACATCAAGCGGCACCTTTGCCTTGACCTTGTTCGACGAGTAAGTGATAACCTGTAACTACAAATAATTTTTTTTTATACTACTGCATAATCGTAATTGTAACCATTACGAATTTTTGTGTCTTCTTTTTTCATTTGGTGAACAGGTTCCTTTGTTCGATCAAATGGATGAAAGGATGCTGGATGCAATATGTGAGAGGCTTAAACCTGCCTTGTGCACCGAAGGCACATTTCTAGTCCGCGAAGGAGACCCTGTCAATGAAATGCTCTTCATAATTCGAGGCCACCTTGATTCTTACACCACAAATGGTGGTCGAACCGGATTTTTCAACTCATGCGGTATTGGTCCGGGTGACTTCTGTGGTGAGGAACTGCTGACATGGGCTTTGGACCCTCGTCCAAGTGTCATCCTGCCATCTTCAACGCGCACAGTCAAATCCATCTCTGAAGTAGAAGCATTTGCTCTAGTAGCAGAGGACTTGAAATTCGTAGCATCCCAGTTCAGAAGACTTCACAGCAAGCAACTTAGACACAAGTTCCGGTTCTATTCACATCAATGGAGATTATGGTCTGCATGTTTCATACAGGCAGCATGGCGTCGATGTAAGAAAAGAAGGGAAGCAGCCGAACTCAAGGCTAAAGAAAACCACACAGAAAATGAGCCTGCAAAACTTCCACCTGTGTCGGACTTGGTTACCTATGCTGCAAGGCTCGCTGCAAGCACCAGACGTGGTGCCAATAAGCATTCTGGGGTCGTTGGCTCATTGCAGAAGCCAGCGGAGCCTGATTTTTCAGTTGAGGAGGAATGAATGGAGAATCCATACAACTAGGGACTTTAAAATAGTGTGAATGGATGATCTGTGCTGTAAATTACTCTCTTAGGATATATACGATCAGATTCAGGAGTGCATTAATATAATTGTATGATTATTTGATTATTTACATTAGGTGACATTAGGTGATAGGAATGTTTGACTACTCGCGACTCTTTCAAGACCTTTTTAGTGTGAATTTTAAGGTGAGGCCAAATATTAGCACATGGTCCAACTTATATAAAAATAAGGACCAAGTTTAGCAAAGCGGTTTAGGACACTTGGCTACGGCATTGTGCCTACTTCCTTAAACCCGAGTTCAAATCCCACTTCATGTAAACTGAAAATAGTTCAGAAAATATTATCGAAAAGTTAGACAAATAATAACAGGATAAAAATATTTCAACTCGATGCATTTAAAGTCCAACGCAATGTCATCAGTCTCGGTATAAGTAAGTAAGTCCTGAACTATATACCATCATTTAAGTAGGTCACATCACTGACTCCTAGCTCTTAATTTGTCCAGCCTCCTTTCTCTTGTCCACTGTAGGTGATGTTAAGAAATCCGTCATCATCCGGATTTTCCTTATCGATTACAGGCATCAAGGTACTTGTGTGTAATAATATTGGAAGAATTAGAGTTATTAAAACAATTTGGGAACAAGATGGATGGATATCATTATGTCGATTGCAGCCTAAAAAATAAATTTGTTGAAACAGAAACAGAAAAACAAAGCCTTTTTCCATGGTCTTCTTTCCTTCCCCTCAATATGCTCCCGAATAAAATCCATAAGTTCTCTTAGAAGCGTATCACCATGGAGAAGGTATCTGCAGTCACAAACACAGGATATGCAATAAATCTGTGTGAGAACCCCTTCATCTAAAAGAAGTTGTATATCTTTTTTTGTTTCTCTTCCCTTTTTTTCGCTGACGGACTTCGTAACATATGATATACCAAAAGCATACGTGAAAAAGGGGACTACCTATTCAATTATGGGAATAAAAATCAAGAAAACTAAAAGCAAAAGATAATCGGGAACTAACTTCTTCATGTAAATGTCAGGAATGTCACTGCTTGGATCCTTCATACTCACCTGCACTGCACAGAGGCTCAAATTACAACATGGTATTACATCCACTGAATGCATAGGAGGTGTTTGAGTGCATATTTAACGCTGGGCTGAGGGAGAATGAAGGCCTAAGAACACAAAAAGCGAAGGGAGGATTGGGCTCGGACAAGTCGACAGCCCAAAAAAATTAAAAATCATTTTGGCAAAGAATAAGCAACAAACCTATGCGATAAGTGATGGGCGACAGAGGGCAGCTCATCCCCAATAAAAAGTACTTTTTAAGGGTACTGATAGGTAAATAAAGTGGTGACTCACCATGATCCAGAGGCTATCATCAAAAGGCAAGGCTTGGACATGCGGATTAAAAGGTCTATAAAAGCAACAAGGGACACCAGAGACAAAGATACTCAACCAATCAATCAAAAGACATCTCATTTTGCTCTCAAACAAGCAAGAAACCAGAAAGCTTTAGTATGCCCACACTCATCTCTTTTAGTCATAGGTCCATCTTAGAAAGCCATCTTTTGTCAAGTCTTAGAAGCTCAGCTACTTTTCCCTAGCGTTATAGTATCGAATCCCTTTTGTAAACCCGTTTTACCTTTCATTCTCTAAAGATTGCAACCCTTGTAAAACACAAAGAGAGGTGGCTGTAAGAAGTTGAACCTTTAATGACAAGGTTATTATCTTGTCCGAGTCTCTTTTGTTTATGCTTACATAAAGTAGATATGTTGTTTAATGCATATTTCTTTATGTTTTAACCAATTTGAGCTGCTTTTCAAAGTTCATTCGTGATTAATCTAGCTAAACTAATTAACCGTGCTTCTTTAGTGTTAACTGTAATAAAATAATAGTTGGAAGGGCCTTGAACTCCCTTTAACTGGACATACAATATTATGAGTAAAAGTCATTGTTTACAAGGCCAGAAAAAGAACCTTATACAGACTTAACCCATTTGTAACAATCTAGTAAGATCAAAAAGTCTAAGTAACTTGTGGTGCAAGTAATTAACCCAGTTAATAACCAAAAAAGAACAATCTATTATACAAAGATAATAGTGGCACGCTCATATCTATATTAGTTTTGTTTGTGAGCCTCAAGGCCTAACAAAGGCCCCACAAAGGCACCATTCAAACTAATAGCAAATTCATATTATAGCACACAAAGCAGCAAACCTTGCCCGACATGTAAGACCCTGGGGAGTTATGCGAGGGACAGATCTAGCCTGAACAGGAGGAAATAAACACATTTGATGCAGTGAAATTCTTACTGGTATATGATCTAGTTCACTCTTATTTAATTTCCAGGCATTTATCTCGTCTACTTCCAAGCAAGGGTCATTGTTAGGTAATAAATCAGCAACAGATCTTTCCTCGAGCTTAACCTGTTTCTTAAGCTGATCCTACTCTGTGTGTCACTGGAATGTAGGATGCAATCATAATTTATTCAGCTTAAATTCTTACCATAAACAACTTGTTTGTATTGTCATTCCAAGGATCCAACAGACCATGGGCGTTGAATAAGGCTCAAACCCTTTTATCCTACAAGCGTAAAGAGAAAGGAATAATCTTGTTCCATCGTAGCAAATACAAATTGAGATATTTAAAGGACAAGGGAATAGATAACTAACTTCCTCGTATTGGTAACCTTGCCAGGAATCTGTCATTGAATTCATGGCCAAACTCCACAATCAACTACATAAAAGGCTCAAATTACAATAGAAGTCCATTGAATATCCAGAAAGCAATGTTTTAAAAGGCGAAGGCATAGACGATGCATTTCATGGATAGCCCACTTAGGCGAAAGTCTTGAGACGTGAGGCAAAACCTTATTGGACCTAAATAATTGGGGACTGCTGTGAGTTATAAAAATACAAGGACCATTATGGGTTGTTAAAAGAAACAAAATGTGGTAGGTTATTGAAAAAAGAATAGGCAACTGCAGTGAGTTTAAAAAAAAATATACTTAGCTAAAACGATGTTGTTTTAGGCCAGAGTCTTTAGAAATACAACATAACAATTTCTTCTTCTTCTTTACGAAGACGCCACCGCATATTGCAACCCTAAACCCAGCCAACAGAGCCTTTGACTTCAATTTCAGGTTGCTAATGGATCTGGGAACACTAGTCAACTGCCTTCAGGTGTACCTCGACCACATTTAGGTGAGTTTTAGCCTACTCCCGCTGGGCAGAGGTGTTATCACTCCTGCTCTGCCTCCAAAGCCGCCTAGACTCACCTCAAGGTGCATTTTTAAAACATTGCTAAAAAGTAAACGTATATAATTCACTAAGATTCTTAATTGTAACATATCACTGCGTCTACTGAGTACTCCTTTCTCTTTTCCTCCACTATAGGTCATGTGAAGAAATCCATCTCTACCCTTATGTGCATCATCAACATTAGACTTCAAGGTCCATGTAACAGGGAAAGAAGAAGAGTTAGTAAAACTACAATTGGAATCAAGATGAGTATTGTTATGACTGAAACAAAAATGAACTACAGCCCTGCTTGTCAGTGGGAGGTTTAATGTTGTTGAAATAGACAAACATAGGATCACCTATATGAATTCTAACTTTCCCAACACAATTTTGAATAAAATTAGCAAATTTTCCATGAGGGATACCAGGACGACATAGTACATGCATGCGGTTAGACACACACAATAGGCAAGAAAAATAAAGATAACCAAAACGTGCTTGTTATCCTACAATTATGACTTGAACATATATCCAAAGCATAGATGGAAAAAAATTTGATAACAATCCCATTATTCCATTTTCCATTGCAGCAAAACAAATGACAATAATTAAAGCACTAGGCAGCTGGAAACTCACATTGTTGCTTTGTACTGATTTGAAGCAAGATATGTGTCAGGAAGCCTAGATTTAGCCGCATGCAGCCTTTTACCGCAGTCACATGCATAGGGGGTCAAATTAGATAGTGTATCTATGCACACATAATGAGTACGTAGGGTGAACGTACCAAAGGTCCACCATACCAATGGCTATTGAATAAACAGTAATTCCTGGAATCATGCATATGCGGAGAAAGTTCTTTGAAAGTTTCAAACAACGAAACATTATCATCACAAGAAGAAGTTATCTTTCAAAATAAACCAACAGAGTATAGAGGTTGTTGTATCACAAAGAAGAAGAAAAATTCCGTACATTTACATTATTGCACGAAAATAAAACAATGAAAAATTCAACCTCCAAACAAAGTGCACATCACGTTTTAGAACTAGGCATTACACATTCCTTCCAGATAGAGGCATAAAAATCCACAATTTGAATCTGTTTTAATATGTGGTGATGGAGGTATATGATAAGTCATTATTATATCATCTTTGTGTTGTAGATATATGATCAATATGTTGTCGTTAATGAATAATGATTATTTCTACAAACCAAATGGCAAAATATGTTTATTGGTGCTCAAGAACTTCTTGTTCAGGGTTGTGATCATGAACTGGTTCTGGAAACAATGTAGTATTTACTGGCTGAGCATCTTGGAGAATAATGATGGGGAGAAAATGAAGTTTCTTGATTCACAAGTAACGATGCATCATTTGTTGCAGGAGGCTGTTTGAGTTCACTTCCAATTTCTTCAAAAATTAAGCTGCTATGTTGCACTATTTCTTCTTCTAGATCTTCAATGAATTTTGCATTGTTGGTCTCTTGAATTCTAGTGTGAAAATCAAGACAATAGAATTTAAAACATTTGGATTTGTCAGCATGTCCAATAAACTTGCAACTTACAGTTCTTGGATCCAACTTCCTCTTTTGAGGGTTGATAAAACATTCCTCAATCCTACATCCCCAGACATGGAAGTGATTGAAAATTGGCCTCCTACCTGTCAAAGTTTCGAAAGGTATAACTTTGACAGATTTGCTTGGAACCTTACTGAGTGTATAGTTGGTTGTTTTGAGTGCTTCTCCCCACACAAAAATTGGAAGCTTAGACCTCGAAAACATGGATCGAATCATGTTCTTCAAGGTCCTATTTTTTCTTTCTGCCACTCCGTTATGATGTGGAGTTCCTGGAGTAGTATACTGAGCAACAATTCTTAATGCTTCAAGGTAAGATGCAAAGGCTCCCTTATGTTGTCCAGTCTCCGTAAACCTGCCAAAATACTCACCACCCTTATCCGATCTCACTATATTAATTTCCTTTTCAAGTTGGTTTTCAAATTCAGTTTTGT